TCAAAAAAAAAAAAAAAAAGAAGCAGGACTGCAATTAGGCTGAAGTACATTACATTTTCTTCTACTGTAAACACATAAATGTTACATACTAGGAATAGAAAACTTAGATAAATCATTAAGGCCCCTGAGGTTGCCAGGTCACTGTTTCTGTTTAGTGTCTAGTCTCAGCATTTTTGGACACAGTTCTGTTTCTGTGCAGTGTGAGCACAGGCCCTAGTGTGTGGACTATGCTACCTTGATGGCTTCAGGGATGTCACTAACAGCTCCTGGGTCCAACCGAACCAGACGGGTCACTTCATTCCCGATGGCTTCTGTGTTCTTAAACCTATGGAGCATATAAGACATGGGTGGGTGGTCTCATCACCAGACAGTTCTTCCACAACCGCTTCTAGAAGGAGGCAAATGCTGAGGGGACAGATTCGGTCAATACCAAGTGACAGAGAAGCATTTTACACCTCTATGGCACTGGTTAAATCTGAATGCAAGTGTTCAAAGGACAGCACTATGATTGGATATGATGAAATGCAAGAACTCTAACAGGAGTTATCTTACACTTACTGTTCAAAGGGCCTCCTTTCACAGTCTCTGCCTTAGCACACCTGCCTTTTACTCCCTCTCTGCACTGTAACCCCTGCCCCGGCCCTCTATAGCCTCTCCTCAGCATCTCAGTCCACAGGCGGAGGGCAACAAGGGACCCCGCCTATGAGGGTGCAGCCATGAGTTTTCCAGTGTTATTACCCCAGCCTATCCTACTACAAGGTAGATGTGCCATCAACACCGCTTTGAAACAACCAGAACTAGTCTGTGGTCCTGCTCCAGAAGGACAAAGGAGGACCAGGAGGAGGAAGGAGCCAGCAGGCAAATTTGAGCTCCGGGTGACAAAACATTTGCCCTGGACACTTTCATGAAAGGCTGGGGCTGTCTGGTGGGACCGCTACACAGGGGCCTCTGTTGTCTTCTCAGCCACCACCAGTCTGGGGTTACTCCCCAGTCAGAGCTGTCATGGGCAACTTCACAGGACACTCAGCTGCCAGCCACAGCATTTGCCTTCTTCTTTTTTTTTTTTTTCTGAGATGGAAGTCTCACTATGTCACCCTGGGTAGAGTGCCATGGTGTCACAGCTCATAACAACCTCAAACTCTTGGGCTTAAGTGATTCTCTTGCCTCAGCCTCCCAAGTAGGTGGGA